CAATCACCTCTTCCCAACGCCACACACACACCCGCCGCACAATGTAATTGCTGCACACCACCCTGTACACTCTCATTCGCTGCTCACAACGGGTACACACACCACACCACACCTGCTGCAAGGTGTAGTCAGCACGCACCTTGCTGTACACTCACCACTCATTACAGCCACGCACACAGCTCCCTGTACACTCACTTCTGAATACAGCCACACGCACACACACACACACGCACACACACCTGGGCAGGATACAATCGTATCCCACAGCCCCCTGTACACACCTGGCGCAGGATATAGTCGTATCCCACACTCGTGGCCGACTCCTTGCTGTTCCAGTTGTGCAGGAAGTCGGCTGCTAGGGCCACCTGGTGAGGATGAGCATGGGCAATGCGGGGCAATGAGGTTGGATGGATAGGGATGGAGGAAGCTGACTGTTGGGTAGACCCAAATGAACACTCGTGGCCGACTCCTTGCTGTTCCAGTTGTGCAGAAAGTCGGCTGCTCGGTCCATCTGGTGAGGATGAGCATGGGCAATGCGGGGCAATGAGGTTGGATGGATAGGGATGGAGGAAGCTGACTGTTGGGTAGACCCAAATGAACACTCGTGGCCGACTCCTTGCTGTTCCAGTTGTGCAGAAAGTCGGCTGCTCGGTCCATCTGGTGAGGATGAGCATGGGCAATGCGGGGCAATGAGGTTGGATGGATAGGGATGGAGGAAGCTGACTGTTGGGTAGACCCAAATGAACACTCGTGGCCGACTCCTTGCTGTTCCAGTTGTGCAGAAAGTCGGCTGCTCGGTCCATCTGGTGAGGATGAGCATGGGCAATGCGGGGCAATGAGGTTGGATGGATAGGGATGGAGGAAGCTGACTGTTGGGTAGACCCAAATGAACACTCGTGGCCGACTCCTTGCTGTTCCAGTTGTGCAGAAAGTCGGCTGCTCGGTCCATCTGGTGAGGATGAGCACGGGCAACGAGGAGGAAAGGGCAATGGGGATGGATGAGGGATAGATGAAGGAGCACGCAAGGTGCAGAGCTGACTTATGGACACGACTCCAAGGTGCTTCTTAAGTTGACACATATGTCACCCAAGTCATACACCTTATCCAACTGAAACACCTTATCCGTCTCGTATCTTATCTGACAAGTGTTGCACGTAGCTCATGGACACCACTCCTACCAATACCGTATCTGACCATATCTTATACCAACACATGCCTTAATAATCTCATACCTGATTGGAGCCATACCTTATCTGACACGCGTTGCACGTAGGTCATGGACACCACTCCTGTGCTCGCCACCTGTGCTGTCGCCACCTGGAGCAAGTGAGATGGATGCGGGATGGCATGGATTGGAGCAATGCGGGATGTGCGTGATTTGGAGCACGCGTTGCACGTAGGTCATGGATACCACTCCTGCGCTCGCCACGTGCAGTCGCCGCCTGAAGAGCAAGCGGGATGGCATGGATTGGAGCGACGCGGAATGGGCATGATTTTTCCAGGAGAAAGAAGAGGAGGAAGAGCACACGGCCTGCAGCGCACCTTTTAAGAATTCTCATAAATATACCAGCAAGAGCAGCTCACCACTTTATCGGTGTTGTATCGACCAGCAATGCCCAGCCCAGAGCGCCGCTGGTGGCCCAGCCAGAAGGCCTCTCCGCCCAGAGAGAGTGTGGGCGTGACGCTCTGAATGTAGTTCACTCCGTAGAAAGCGTTGTTGCCCGCCTGTGCCTGCCACTGGTAGTCCGACCCCTGCAGTCATGGAAGGGTAACGGATGTGGGAGACAGTGCTTTGTGTGACGCTCTGGATGTAGTTCACTCCGTAGAAAGCGTTGTTGCCTGCTTGCGCCTGCCACTGGTAGTCCGATCCCTGCAGTCATGGAGGGATGAAGGGCGTTGAATGAGGAGAGAACGTTTGAAAGCATGCTGTGAATGTGGTTCACTGCGTGGAAGGCGTTGTTTCCCGCCTGCACTGCACCTCCCGCTGATCTGGTAGTCTGATCGCTGCAGTGATGGAGAGAAATTCAGGCACCAGAATACTCGTTATGAGGGCATTCAGCAAACAAATGAGGGAAATCCAGACACCAGAATGGGGAACAATCGTTATGAGTAGCATTGACACCACAAATAGCGTTGATAATCATTATGAGTCCATTCAGCGAACGCTCTGGATGGAAATCACTCGGTGGACTGCACCGTTTTGAGACTACTCAAAACACTGCTTTTATCATGTTGCCCACATGCACGTGCGGCTCGTAGTAGTAACTTGCTACTACTTGCCACTGGTAGTCCAATCTCTCTTTGCAGTGATAGAGGGAAAGGAAGCGCATTGAGACATGCCAAGTGTTGACACTCGCACTCTATAGGCTCACATACACGCGCGTACACACACAAACGTAAGCGCACGCACACACGCATGCACGCACACACAGGCAAGACACACACCCACCCACACACTCACACGCACGCACCTTGTAGTCGAGTTGGAACATGCCCTGCGAGAAGTGCGGCTCGTTCACAATCTGCGCGTTGACCTTCAATGCCACGCTGTCAGTCACCTGGTAGCTCACCTGCTTCCCATGCCCTCTCTCTCTCTTACACGCACGCACCTTGTAGTCAAGCTGGAACATGCCCTGCGAGAAGTGAGGCTCGTTCACAATCTGTGCGCACTCACCTGCTTCCCATGTGCTCTCTCTCCCCTCTCTCTCCCCCTCACGCACGCACCTTGTAGTCGAGTTGGAACATGCCCTGGGAAAAGTGAGGCTCGTTCACGATCCGCGCACACTCAGCTACTTCCCGTGCTCTCTCTCTCGCGCACACACTCACGCTCACTCTCACTCTCACGCACACGCACCTTGTAGTCGAGTTGGAACATGCCCTGGGAGAAATGTGGCTCGTTGACGATTTGCGCATTCACCTTCAGTGCCAGGCTGTCCGTCACCTGGTAGCTCACCCTCGCACTCAACCTCCCGTCCGCCATCCGGCCAATCAGCATCTTCTGCTCTCGGAAGAGGGGGGGGGTTGGTGGGGCGCGGAGGGGGGGGAAGGAGAGGCAACGGGGAAAGAGTCAGGGAAAGGACGGACAAGCCTGCCCACCGGGTGCAATCTGGTAGCTCACCCGCGCACTCAGCCTGCCGCCCGCCATCCAGCCAATCAGCATCTTCTGTTCCGGCAGTGACGTGGCACAGCACAGGGGAAGCGGGGAGGAGAGAGAGACAAAGGGGAAAACGTCGGGGAAAGGACGGACAAGTTGGATGCAATCTGGTAGCTTGCCCGCGCACTCAGCCTTACCGCACGCCATCCGACCAATCAGCATCTTAGGCTTGCGGATGGCTGAGGGTGCAGGGAATGAAGGGGAGGGGGTGGGGTCCTAAAACCTTTCCTCATGAAGGCGATGAGGAAAGGTCCCAGGAAAGGGCATGCACGCAAGGGGGAATGGAGTGTGATGTTACTATCTTTGAATTTGAAATGTAATGTTATCTTTGAATCTGGAATGTGACATTATCTTTGGATTTGGAATGTGATATTATACGAAGATTCGATGAATGACGAAGGCAATTCAAAATTTCAGTTGTGGTGCGGAATAGCAAGCAGGAGAAAGGAGGGGGAGGGGGAGGGGCAGCCGCATGGATCATGGAGGTACGAGCGACCTCCATGACTAAGCCAATGCGGCGCTCAGCAACCCCATTCTGTTGCGGAGAGGCCGGAAGCGTGAACGTCTGGCGGATGCCGTGCTCCGCACAGAAGGCTGCCAAGAGGTCTGAGGAGAACTCACCACCTCTGTCAGAGTGCAGACGCAGGACAGGAAAGTCCGACTGGAACCGCTCGCGGAGCTGGAGACGAGTAGCGCGGATCCAGGGGATCAAAACATCAGGGACCTCCCCCTTGCTGCGCAAGGGGAAGACCGTGGTGTAACGCGTGTAGTCGTCGACGACCAGCAGGAAGTACCGCTCGTGGCCCTGTCCACGGACGCGGGCTGGGCCCCACACGTCCATGTGGAGAGTCTGCAGGGGAGCCTCTGTGGGAGGAAACGAGGAGGAGTGAGGAGCGGCGCGCTGCCGCCCCTCGACGCAAGGAATGCAGGGCGGCGCAGGCGAGGGAGGGAGGGCAGGCAGAGACTCAGGAAGGCCAGAGACCAGGTAGCGAGAGTGCATGCTACGAAGGCGAGGCAGGGAGGGGTGACCAAGGCGGTGGTGCCATAGGAGAGTGTCGTGCGACAGTCAGCGACACTCACACTGGGTAGCTACCTGAGCAGACGCGTACAGCTGGGGAGACAAAGGGGTGTAGCGCGACGCAGTGGTGAGGGTGTACAGACTGGACCCAGGCGCACGTGTGAACGTGGCCAGGTGACGGCCGGTCCGGGAGCACGTGCAGATCGCCACACGCTGTCCTCCAGGAGTAAAGGTGTCAACCCAGTGATCCTGAAGGACGGCGTTGCTCACCAAGTTCGTAGAGAACGAGGGGAGGTGGAGACCAGACAGCTCACCAGACGGGACCGCCGGACACGAAAGCACAGTGGAAGACAGTGCAAGCACTGGGCCCCCAGAGGGGTCAGCCAGTGAGACAGGAACAGGTGCAGGGAGGGGATTGACTGTGGTACTGTCGCGAAAGAAACAGCGGGAAGCACCAGAGTCAAGTGTAAAGGTGTGCAAGGCCTGTGCAGGCGCAGTACCAAGGGGAGCAGACTCACAAGCACCTAGTGTTACAGGGGCTATACCAGGATCCGGCGGCACACACAAGTAGCAGTCACCCTCAGCACTAACAGTCAATGCATACATAGCAGCAAGAATTGCCTCATAGTCAAGATCAAAGATAGGTACATCACGCCTAAGCAAGTCTGCCCAGTTGGGGAACTCAGTACCATCAGGAAACTTGGCGCGCCAGGCGTCGCTAAGCCGAGCGAAGCAGCGCTGCTCAGTGTGAAACCCTGTGCATTGGCGATTAGCGCGGGGACCTGTGCGAATGATATAGGGGCAGCGACCAGGACCCCCAGAAGCCCCATGCCCGGCATACCAGTCAAGAAGCTGCTGGGAAGTGGGGGTCTGGCGCTGACGCTGCTGCTGCTGCTGCTGCTGCTGCGGCTGCTGCTGGCCCTGACCTCCACTGCCACCACCGCTCCCTCCTCCCCCACCGCCGCTGCTGCCACCTCCACCGCTCCCAGTGCCTCCGCTGCCCCCACCACCACCTCCACCACCTCCACCCCCACGACCGCCTCCACCACCTCCACCTCTCCCGCCGCCACCTCCACCGCCACCTCCACCGCCACCCCCACCTCCCCTGCCACCCTTGCCGCCCCTGCCGCTGCGACGCTTCCCACTAGGAGCGGAAGCAGCCCCGACCTCCTCAGCACCAAGGTAGTCGTGAGCAGCAGCTGCGGACGCGTAGGAGGGGGTGAGAGGGGAGGGGGAGCACCCCTCAAAGAGGGGAGAGCGAGGAGTGCCACGAGCAGCACCTACAGCGAGGATGTTCTTCTCTGCTGCAAGGAGGTGCTTCTCGAAGTCGTCGACAGTGAGAGTGGGGGGGTCTAGCGCTAGGAAGTGGTCCCTGACGGAGCTAAGAGTGTCAGGGAGGCGGGTGACGAGGAAATAGAGAGTGAAGTACATCGGGGGGGGGGGGGGTTTGCGTCGCAGAACTCGGCGGAAAGTGCGGCACGAAAGCGAGTGTCAGTAGCGCGCAGGTGGGAAATGAGGTCCTCAGCAGTGGTGAACGAGGAAAGGTCGGGGAACAGGTAGGGTAGCATGAGCCGACCTATGGCTGCAGTGGCCGGGGAGGAGTAGCGCGCAACTACAGCGTCGTACAGCGTCTTAGCAGTTTTGTGCTGGCTGAAATGCGCGCGCTCAGTAATCGGCAGATGGTTCCTAATAGCTAGGCGTGCAGCAGCATCGCGAGTCTGCCACTGTGAGCGTTCGAGAGCAGGAGCATCGGCAGCAGGAGCAACGGCAGTGCCAGACACGTAATCGAACTGTGAAACGCCCTCTTTGGCATCGGTCAGAAGGAACAGTTGGAGATCATCTAACCACACAGCGAACTCTATGGGGCGACCGTCAAGCTCGAACGCGAGAACGTTAGGCGTCGTCATAATGGCAGCAGGCAAAGGCAGCAGAAAGCAGGCAGGCAGTAGACAGGAGGCAGTAGGCAGTAGACTGCAGGCTAAGACAGAGGCAGTAGGCAGCAGGCAGTACAGGCAACGTGCAGGGCAGTAGCTTGCTGCACTCGAGCTCCTAAGGTGGGGCTCTAGACAGTAGCAGGCCGAGCAGTTCTAAGGCAGTGGGCTCGGCAGCAGTGAGCCTCACAGGCAGGTACACGAGTAGGGCACGCGCGGCTGCTGGCTGCGTGCGGCTGAGGGCTGCGCGCGGCTCTCTGCTGTGCGTGGCTACGTGCTGCGCGCGGCTCCTGGCTGCACGTGGCGACGGGCTGCGCGCGGCTCCTAGCTGCGCGTGGCGACGGGCTGCGCGGGCGTGGCCTAAGCAGGCTGCGCGCGGGCGGCGTAAGGGGCGCGCGGGCTCTACGCGAGGCTGCGCGGGCGACGCGGGCCGGCGCGCGGCGCTGCAGCAGTGGCGCGCGCTAAAAACAGTGACGCGCGCGCTAGAAACCGAGGCGCGCGCGGAAAAAAAAAAAGTGACGCGCGCTGCAACCGAGGCGCGCGCGGGCAGTAGGCAAGGCAGGCAGGTGGTAACACAGTTACGTGGGCCCGATTCTTAGGTCCTAGAGACCTCCTGCTCTAGATACCATGTTAAGACTAAGTCAAGGGAATGGTGAGATTATGTCAAGGTTGGGGTACAAGACTAGAGTGTCGAGAAAGTTTCTGTACCCCCTAAGGCTAGCACCAATATAGCCTAGATAATGATATGCATATGTTTTGACAGTCTGGTCCATATTTCTCAGGCTTTGTCGGACGGGCAAGGGGTGGTTAGCGATTTTTATGACTTCGGTGAAGGCGCAAACGCTATCGTAGTCGGAGTGAAATAATCGTATCTATTTTACAGACCGACGCTTTGCAGCCCACCAAGTCTATCGCACCCCTTCCACAAACTACCTCTGAAACGCGAGGGTAACCTAGGAAAAGAGCTCTGATACCAAGTGTTATGAGTTGTAATGAAAAGAGTGCGCATGATTCAATAACGCGGAAGTGATAACAACTACTGAACAAATAATGAGACCTAGCATTAATATAGCGAAGGCTAGCTAGGCCGAGGTCGCGGGACCGCGCATGGTCGGGTGCAGGTTCGGGGTTGGGAAACCCGAAGGCGACGCGAGGGACGTTCGGAGGGCGAGGTCATCGGACTGAGCCTGGAACTCCGAAAGTTGGAGTTGTACATGTATGGAGTGCCTCGGTAAGGAATTAGGCAAAATTCCTTACAGTATCCACACTTCACAAAAGAATCCAAACTAATTTAGTTCGTAAGATATTCCTCAAGCGCAGTTTCAAGTTTGTGCGAAACCGTGAAACAAGTGTTTGAACCATCCCTTTAAAGCACCTCAGTAGTCAACAGTGACGGGTCGGAAGACGAAGGACGGAACCAGAGGTCAGCAACAGTGGTGCGCAAGTTATCGTGTCACTCACGGGGTGACTGGCGCAGTCCGTAGACTGGTCGTCTAAGGCTCCACTAGGTCCCAGGCAGGAAAGTACCAGTGAAGCCAGGAGGACGGCGTAGCCAGATCTCCTCATGCAGAGTGCCCTGGAAAAAGGCAGTAGAGAAGTCTAGTAAGTGCAGCTTGTAGTCTCGCATGTGTTGCGACGCATAGTATCATCCAAAGAATGGTAATCTATGGGGTGGGGAAGAAGGTATGGAAGAAGTCTACTCCTTCACGCTGACTGAATCCTCTAGCCACGTAGCGCGCCTTGAAAGCAGGTGGTGAAACAGGCGGTCGTTTCACCTTGAAGATCCACATGCCAACGACTACGTTCGCCAGGGGAGGGGAACTGCGTCAGTTTAAGTAAGAGGAGTCGGGATGTCTGGAGCGTCAAGGTCTTTTTCGAAGGCTAGCAGCATGGCACAAAGATGGGTAGAAGCGGCTGCAAGGAACTCCAGCTCAAAGTGCCTGTCCTCTAGGACGTCAGAGCCAAGGGCAGACTCGGTGGACAGATGGCGGGTAGGGAGAGCATCCACCAAGCGGGTGGCATAGTCAAGGCGGTGGGTGGCGGCAAAATCAGTGACAGCGGCAACAAAAGCTGCAAAAAACGACGGAGAAGCATTAGGGTCTGTAACGAGAGAGGAGAGAACGAGTGAGACAACAGGGCGAGCAACACGGTAGTAGTCAGTGAGAGACAGTGAGGATACTGTAAGAGCTGACGAAGGAGGCAACGAGAGGACAAACGGAGGCGGAGAACGAGGAGGAAAACATGACAGCGCACCACAGAAACGCACACAGCAGCCTGCCTAGCCTGAGCAAGCTAACCTCAGGCCTTGCACGAGCACCCTGCACATGTACTGTACAAGATCGGATGATCGGATAAGAGGATGGTTTGTCTCATCCGACTTGGAACGGAAAAGTACAAGGAACAATGTACTGTATATCAGGAGCCAGACTTTTTACTCCTAGATATAGGATTCCATTCCTACACAAAGCCGTATTCTAAAACATTGTCTATATTTGGCCCAAACTTCAGCACCTCCAGAAAAAAGCTGTACGGTCGATGGAATACTGGAAACACCTCATGGGCTAGTACCTCAGGGATTACCAGCATGCAGACTTTGATTTCCTTGAGGCTCATACCTGCATAATGCATTCATGATGTGTATGATCATGTATTGGCGAGACAGCGCCAGACGGCCTTGGAGAGTTGTGCCTCCTCAAGGGGTTTGGAGAGGTAGTCATCCATGCCGACGGCAAAGCAGTGGTGGCGCGTGCCGGCAATCACATCCGCTGTGAGCGCAATGATGGCCACATGCCCCCCGCCCTGAGCCCTCTCCCGCGCTCGGATCCTGCGAGTCGCCTCCAGCCCATCCATGCCCGGCATCTGGAGGTCCATGAAAACGAGGTCGTAGGGGTGGGGCGGGGCGAGGGCTTGAAGCGCCTTGATGCCGCCATCCACGGCGGTGACTCGCGCGCCGTGCCTCTCCAGCAGCTTGCTGGCCACCTTGCGGTTGATCACATTGTCATCCACCACCATCACCCACCGACCCAACAGCACCGCCAGCCCCTCAGCCACCGTCGCCGGCTCTTGAGCCGTTGCTACCGCTGCTGCTGCTGCTGGGGCTGCTAGTGTTGCTGCTGTTGTTGCTGCTGGTGCTGCTTGTCGGGATGATGCTGGGAATGATGGTGTCGGTAGGGATGATGCTGGGGCTGCTACCGCAGCTGCTGGTGTTGGTGATGATGGCGATGATGTGCGGGTGATGGCAGGAGAGAGCGTGGCAACAGAGGACGACGATGGAGCAGGGGTGAGATCAGCAGGCCGAGCATACAGGGGAGGGATCCCTGAGAAATCGAGCAGACTCCCAAAACCACGCACTCGACCACCACCACCACCACCAGCTGCAGCAGCAGCAGCACCAGAAGCACCATAGCGTCCGTCGCTGCTTCTCCGTTGATTGCTCTCTCTTCCATGCAACCTCCCAGCTGCTCCCCTTTCACCCCCGGACCCGTGCTTTGTTGCCCTCCTCTCACCCTTTGGCCCTTGCATCTCTGCCCTACGCTCTGCTGCTCTAGCCGCTTCCACCACACTTCCGCCCCTCACAAAAGCTCTCAACCCCTGAGGCACATAGTGCTGCAACCCCTGGGGCGAATCAGGAACATTTTCCACAGCACTGCCGCTTCTTACCAGAGCTTTCACCCTCTGAGGCACATAGTGCTGCAACCCCTGATGTGACTCATAATAATTCTCCACAGCACTGCAGCTCCTCTCCAGAGCTTTCTCTCCCTGTGCCACAAAGTGCTGGCCATTCTGAAGCGCATCAGAAAGTGCTACCTCAGGACTCTCACCCCTCACCAGCACTCGCCCTCCCAAAGCGACACTTCCGCTCGCAACAGCAGAGCCAGAAACAGCAGCAGATGTCAAATCAACCAAAGCGGCTGGACTAGCGTTGGCAGAAGATGTCAAATTGACCGACGCAGCAGCAGTAGCATCGGCAGCGGACGTTAGATCGGCCGAAGCAGCAGCAGCAGCAGCAGCAGCAGCAGCAGTGGTCGCTGCTGCAAGGTGCTCAAGCGAAGCCACTTGGTTGGCCAACGAGGCAATGTTGCCATCCATACCATTCATACCATTCATACCATTCATGTCATCCATACCATTCATGTCATCCATACCATTCATGTCATCCATACCATCATTACCATCCATACCATCCATACCATCCATACCAATCATGTCATCCATACCATCATTACCATCCATGCCATCCCTGCACTTCTGCCATCCCTCCTCCTCCTCCTCCTTCACCGCCACTCCGTTGCCTCGGGCGCACATGTTAGGGGCTGCCTGGGCCTTGCATGCATCGTGAATGACACTCGGGGACGGTACAGCCGGCTCCTGAGAGAGTCGATGATCCTCAGTAGCAGCAGCGGTAGCAGCAGCAGGAGCAGCAGGAGCAGCAACGGTGGTAGCAGCAGGAGCAGATGCACCACCAGCAGCAGCAGCAGCGGGGACGAGGAGGTTGGGTGTGAGATGCACAGCTAGAGAAGCAGAGGGACCACCACTTGCATTGGGTGACATGCTTTTCGTAGCAACGGAGCTTGCTTGTTTGGATTGGGGAGAGTTAGAATTGGGAGTGCTCAGTGTGTTGCGAGTGCTGGGAATGGTGGGAGTGTTATGAGTTAAAGGAGTGGTGGGAGTGGTGGGAGCGGTGGGAGTGGTGGGAGTGGTGGGAATGTTGGGCGTGGTGGGAGTGGTGGGTGTATTGGAGGGACAGGGAAAGGTTATGAGCGACTGAGGGGAACTGAGTGCCCCGGGGGACTTGAGAGCTTGTGGGGACTTGAGAGCTCGAGGGGACTTGAGTGATTGTGGAGACTTGAGTGA